CATCCATGAGGACAAACCACGGCCAAGTTGCAGCAGTAGGTTTCCCACTCACTCCCTCTCCTGACCCTGGATACTTGCAATCCTAAGGCAGAGGACAATCAAGACAGTTAACAAAAACAACAGCAGCAAAATGAATGTCGGTAAACGTTAATTAACTTATAGTAACACATATGCACATACTTTATATTTCTTCTTGAGGTTGTCCCATTTTTTTTTTTTTTTTGCCTCCACGGGAGTCACCTTCCCCTGCAGGCACATCTTCTCCAAAATTATCCTAATCACATTGACAAAATGATGAAAAGTTAAAAGGTTATCAATAATGTTAACACAAGTATGCAAACTTAGAAAATTCACATATTTTACACAGCAGAATATACACAAATTCATGAAGAAATCATTTACATGGATGCCTTATTTTCAATTTAAATAAATAAAAGAAAAAGGTGACAACTTGCATCTCTGACAGCAACAACACATCAGAAGTGTATTGTCCTCTACTGGTTGTCTTATTAGTAAACGCTTTATATAGGGTGAGAGCTAATGTAACTGTACAGGATGATCAAATGGAGATATTACAAAAGGACTAATAGCTTACTTCCATGCAACACTTGCAGAATGTTTGGCTACGGTGAAGAGGCCGTCATTCTCCCCCCTCAACTTGATAAACTGAGCCGTTTGCGCCTGGCTCCCTACAACAAAACAAAATGTACAGTTAGTTTTAATTCACACCACAAAACAGAATCAGCAAAATACTCAAGTTCAGTTTATCTGTGTAATTAATCTCAACCATATTACCGTTATTGGACTTATCCACCTCAAGTAGAAGGGTTATCCACCTGTCTACCTGAGCTCTTGTTGGTCAGTTAATGGACATAATATGAAGTATAAATCATCTGTAAAATCATCACAATCTCAGTAAGATATTAGTCAACCTCTGACGTGTGTAAGTGAAGTTATTAAAGTTATTACATGTTACTTTAAGGCTTAACTACGGTCGGATCAGGCAGATGAGCTGCAGCTATTAGCGCTGCGGCTAACGCGGCTAGTTAGCTTGTCGGTTACGAACGTCACGTAATTTAACGGATCATTTTAACACACGTGATGTTATAAGATCTCTTATTTTGTTTTAACATTAGTATCGGTGACATTCGAGTGAGTTGAAACCCAATACTTACATTTAAAATTGAACGATGTCGATTCACTCGCTCCCTGCTTACGTCCTTGCTTATCAGTAGGTGGCGCTATGACAATGAGTTAATATTGGCATGCAGAAGTCCTAAAGCCATGACAGTCAACAAGCATGTCAAGTTTGGGACAGTTTTGACAAAGTACAGTCGAGTTACAACAGCTTGATGGATGATGGCGAACCATGTAAAATGGCCGTCACACCATATCCACGTCGTTCGATGAAACCTAAAGCTTTTAGTAACTTTTAATCGCTAAGGTCTTTAGATTGTTCTGACCAAATTCTAAGCTGATCGGATTAATTCCCTAGGAGGAGTTTGTAGTACAGCACCTGGAAATGGAAAAAAAACACGAGAAATTCATACAAAATTCAAAATGGCTGACTTCCGGTTGGGTTTAGAGCATGGTCTCAATAGACTTTATTTTAAGTCCACATGTGATACATGTGCCTACCAAATTTTGTAAATCTATGTGAAACATACAGCGAGGGCTGCTTCGTCGAAATTTTGTAGGGGGCGCTATTGAGCCGATTTGCCACTCTGAACCAATAAAATCATATTATATATCTACATTTTGGGCTTTAAATGTGTATGCCAAGTTTGCTTATGTTTCGAGCATTTCTAGCCTCTCAAAAACACCACCGTTAACGGCGAAGACTGCATCGCCACGGCAACGGCATTCGACGAAACATCAAAAGCTTCATGAACTGGCATTATGAACATCTTATATTTGTGTGGAACTAATTTGATATTGATTTGATTTACCTACTAAGAGAAACAAGCCAAAGTATAAAGACTTTAACTTCCTGTTACCAGTAGGTGGCGCTATGACTATGATTCAAAATTGGCCTGCAGATGTCTTCAGGCCTGGAGTCTAATCAAACATGTGAAATCTGGTAAAGATCTGATGATGTGGAGTTGAGTTACATCAGTTTATTCGTTCATAGCGAAGGATCGAAATTCGCCGAACCGCCACGTCGCCGCCCTTCAACAACTTCTTACAATTTTCACAATGAAGCATTATCAAGGTCTTAAGGCTGTTCTGACAACATTTTAGAGGGATCTGATTAATCTGTGAGAAACAGGATGTCAAAGTACACAACTTACAACTTCCAGTTGCCACTAGGTGGTGCTATTACTATGATTCTAAATTATCATATAGATGTGTTCCGGGTCAGGATGTTATGAGAGATTTGGAGCAGATTCGACAATGTACGGCCGAGTTACAACAACTTCCTGTTTTGCGGCGAATGGTGTTTTTTTGACGCCACGCCACAGACACATAGTTCGATAACTTTTTGATCTTTGAGTAACTTTTCACTGCCAAGGTCTCAAGAGCATACTGACCAAATCTGAAGTTGATCAGGTTAAATCTCTAGGAGGAGTTCGTTAAAGTATGACGCCTTGAAACGGTCCAAAACCGTCATAGAATTAAAAATGGCCGACTTCCTGTTTGGTTTAGAGAAAAATTCCAAGAGGATTTTTTGTGCGTCTCATCACGATCCACATTCTTACCAAATTTCATACAGCTAGGTGAAACGATTCCGTCAAACGTAAAGCTTTTGATAACTTTTAATCACAACGGTCTTGACATAGTACTGACAAAATTTAAAGTGGATCTGATGAAGTTCCTAGGAGGAGTTCGTTAAAGTATAGCGACTAGAAATAGGCCAAAATCTATTGAAATATGACACATAAATGAAACTGGACGACTTCCGGTAGGGTTTAGAGCATGGTCCCAAGAGACTTATATTTAAGTCTCCATAGGATACATGTGCCTACTAAGTATCATACATGTACCTCAAACGTAGCGCTGGGGCTGCTGTTTTGAAATATTGTAGGGGGCGCTATAGAGACAATTTAAAACGGCCAAGCCCAAAACCCATATACACTATGTCTTCCTATGACCTATGACAAATGTGCAAAGTTCCATGAGTTTTTCACCATCCCAACCCACTAAAGCATCAGCTTCCTTTTTCATGGCGAAAAATGCATCGCCATGGCAACAGCGTTCAACGAAAACATACAATCTTCATTATCAAGCATCATCAATGTCTTAAGGCTGTCGTTACCAAATTTGAGACTCATCAGGTCACCTGGCTAGGAGGAAGAAATAAAAGTATAAAATATGACATTTCCTTTAGCCAGTAGGCGGCGCTATGAGTTATTGAAATATTTTCAATTTAACTATGTTCAAGGTTGAAGTAGCATCATGCATAAGAAGTTTTGTGCGGATTGGATAAATGTACCTTGAAGTTATAACAACTTATAAGAACTTATTTTTTCAAAAACAATGAGGCAAAATGGCCGCCACTCCACGTCAAGGTCCTTCGATGAAAGCGCGCGATTTTGATAACTTTTAATCACAAAGGTCTTAAGAGCATCCTGACCAAAGGAGAAGTTGATTGCATAAATTCTCTAGGAGGAGTTCGTTAAAATACGAAGGCTGAAATCTTCAAAAAGTGACAAAAAGCACAACTTCGCGGGTTTGCTGTAGCGCCCCCTAGTGGTTGAATGCAAAACAAATCTCAGGGTATGTTACAGCATGCGATGTGCACGTATGCTGCAAATTTTGGAATTGTAGGACAAACGGTTGAGATCTGCAGAGAGGTATAACCTTAGGGTCTCTGTGGATGTGTGGGGCCCGCTGTGGTGGTTGTAGTGGCTCATTCCGCCGGCTGGCCATCATCCTCGGACCTCCCTCCTCTACGTCATCAACAATGCTTGGATTATCCACTCTGCTGTCATATTCACCTCTCATTTCAGTCACCTGCGCTTGAATCCGATGAACGTCGTGCTCCATACTTCTCCATCTCTCCATCCCACTGTGGGCTAACGTTACATGCACTTTGCCTGAGGCATGGCTATGTTAGCTACGCATGTATGACACAATTTAAAATAAATCCTATGAGCTTGGTTTTCTCCGACCGAGAAAGCGGAGCTTCATGTCAACACAGCAGCCCTCCATGTCGTTCTTAAAAAGAGACTCCACGACACTAACAACATGAGAACAAAGTGAAGTGCTGCTACATTTAAAATAATTTTGACAAAACAGGGCAGTATAACGTCAACTTACCTTTATGTCACCGTAACCTCCTGTCCGTGTTTAGTGGATGCAGATACCAAGAGCCAAGTCAAACTGACCAATAGAAACTCCTGGCTCATTCAGCAGCGTATGTCCCGCCCACTACATCCAAACTCAACTCGTAGCTTTTCGTTTTGAAACCAAAGGTTTTTTGTTTTTTTTAACCAAAGGTTTTTTTTTTAAACCAAAGGTGGTTTTTTTTTTTAACCAAAGGTTGTTGGTTTTTAACCAGGTTGTTTTTTTTTAACCAAAGGTTGTTTTTTTTTAAGCAAAGGTTTTTCTTTTGCAGCCAAAAATTCTAGTTTCATAAGCAAAACTAACAAATTAATTATTCTCAGTTTATATATTTTCACTTACAAACTTGATTTTTGATTGCAGTGTGAGAAATTTGCTTTCAAAATATTTTTTTTATGTTTGCATAATAAAGACACAAATATACCTTCATAGTCATGAAGTCTGGAAGCTAAATCAAATAAAAGTGGCTTCCAAGCTTGTTTAGAAAATATTTATTTCATGGAATGTACACTGTACAAAGGCACTGAAGCATGTGAGATACACCGAGATCTCATCCTGCACCATCACATTTTGTGGAACATTTCCTTTCTCATGTCTGAAGTTCCAACATGATTTCTTTTAAACCATGTAGATAACACTTTTCATAGACTTTAAAGGGAAAATACTCCAAATACAACACACATTCACTACTTTTGGGCTGCTTTCTAACCTACATTTCTTAGCTAAATCTAGACATTATTGTTGTACAAAATGAACATAATACATTGATTTTCACTTTGTGTAATGATTTAGGCAATGATTTAAAAAAATAATAAAGGCATTAATCTACAAATCAAGTCCACAACCATCAATGGAGGAAATTATTGATCAGCAATATGAATGCCCTTTACATAGATGACAGACATCATTCAATTCTGTCCTTCCTTATTGGTACTTGCTCTTTCAACACTTTTCATTTTCCTGCCATTACTACAAATTCCATGTTCCGTTTACAGGGCTGGCGCTGATGCTTGACAACTTAAAATGACCTTCTGTGCCGAAAATAATTCTCTTGAGTGTAAAATATTCCCTTCAATTTCATAGAAACATTCAGATTTACCGGTGTAATGGATTGTTAAACTACACCAGTTTAATTATCAAATGCCGTGAAATCCTCAGCAGGTTTAAAGACCATAACAGTGTTAAACCCATTTACCACCAATCACATATACTTTACATTTCTTCTAAGTATTTTCCATAGAGTGCTATAGGATCTTAATGTATACATTTCTTTCTGTTGGTGGGTGGGTTCCCCACTTTGGACCACACTGAAATATCTCAACAACTATTGGAATGATTTTCATACAACTTTGTACAGACATTAATGTTCTCCAGACGATGAATCAAAAATTTCTGTTTGTCCACTCATTTGGTTTATGACCAAATACCTGCAAAACTAATGCCATTCTCACCAACATCAGCTGTACTTTGCTAATTAACATGAAATGTGCACATTTTAACATGCCAATATGCTAAATTAAGACAGTGAGCATGGTAAACATAATCCGCATGTTAGCATTGGCTGAATCCAAATGGCTGGACTTCAAATTATCTGATGATCAAATTATAGGGAAGATTATACTGTGCATTTCAACCTGTATTATTTATTCTTTAACCTCTCTCTGTTACACTATAAAGCCCGTTTTCGTGAGGCAATTTTAAGGGGGGATGCCACACCCTTGTGAGAAAAATGACCGAAAATGTGTCCCCCTCATTATCTTGCCATACCTGCCCCCCGTTTCCAGGTTTGTGCAATTTGGTAGCCTCCACTGAGCACAGCTGCACCACGTTCCGATGAAGCTGCTGATTGCGGCCACTCAAGACAATGCATGTGATTCCACCAGACACTAAGCAGTGTGTTTCAGGAGAGTCTGTCTGTGCTGTGTATTTATAAATCAATGGCACGATCAGTGTTGCTGAATTAGCTACTTTTACTATGAGTGCCGCCCTTCGGGATCGCCTTCTGCTCATCTTATAGCACAATTTATCACCTCACGAGCCATAGCGAAAAAAGCTTGAAATGATGACTTCATGTATGACAGAAGTCCGGGCATTGGCGATGCTGGACTCTGGGGGGGTCCAGGCAAAGAAGCCCATCGAGGCCCATTTGGATGTGAACATGTATGAGAACATTGGTGGGACACATATTCAGTGGGGGCTCTGGGGTCCTCCACCAGGATATGTTGAACACCAAACACTTAATTTCCTAAATTCTACAGCGAAAATGCCTTGATTTACGTAAAAGAAAAGAAAAAATTCAGGCGGCCACTGACAATTCTAAATATGAAAACATATTGATTCTTAACCATTCTGTATTTCTTTTAAAATTGTATTCTCCTGTAGATCAACTTCTTTCATTTAATTCATTCCCTATTGAGTCAACACACATGTAGGCAAGATTTACTACTTATTTGGGGAAGTAACTATTCAAATGTGCATGTGGCAGCGATTCACATCAATGATATATTAAGTTATTTTAACCTGTATAAAACCTGGGGATTTAATAGTTAATTTATCTTTCAGCAAGTTTTCTGCTACTTTCCAAAACATTCTGCATATTCAATATGCAGATCACACCAGAATCCCATTTCTCCGCGCCCGTCAACAAACGATTCTGCTCCTCACTCTCTGTGTGAGTGAGTGTGTCTATTTGCTCTTAAGATAATGCAAACAAGTTTGCTCAAATATTGGATCGGACAATTTGGTCCTCCCAAAATATTGGTAGGGATATGTCCCTACTGTCCACATGCAAAACTATGCCCTTATATAGTGCCTTTTTATAGGAACTGTCAGGGTCTTTATAGTTGTCATTGCAAAATGCACCAATATGAGTGCCCATCAGGGGCCCCTTTTCCCAATTTTCTCTGAGGGGCCCCTAACATTTGCCTGGTTTTGCCACTCCTGATGGTGTGCCTCCTCTCCCGGATTCTTTAAGTCCAGATGGTTGACATTTGAATTCAGCCATTGTCATTTGAGCATGTTAGCATTTAGTTCAAAGCATCACTGTGCAGAAAGTGTAACAAGCATAGCTGTGGACTCAGTGTTGTCTTGTCTTTCAGGCAGCCACTGGGTTCTATTTGTTTCAGTATGCTATGAAAATTAGCATGTAGCACTGTATTACTCCACATCACCACCGTTGACTGCAATGAAAGGAGACATAAGGTTACTGTTTCAATTGTCTATAACTTGATTTTCACAGTGTAGTGAAATTAGCCCCTGAAACCAGGAGCTGTCTGGAAGGTAAAAAAAATACATTCTACAATGTAAAACACTATGGTATTGTGTATAGTGTTATAGCCCTTAAAATGTCACCAGAGTTGGGTTGGTCAGCAAGGAAAGAACTGTGGAGCATCTATCCATATATTAGCTATACCTGCGGGGGGTGGTGGGGTTGCCAGTCATTCACAAGGCTGACTTATAAAGACAGACAACCATTCACACTCATATTCACACCTCTGGGCAATTTAAAGTTGCTAGTTAATCTAACCTGCATGTCTGTGAACTGTGGGAGGCAACTGCACAGGGAGAATATGAAAACTCCATACAGAAAGGCCCCAGCAGCTCGGCAAGGTTCCAAGGTTCCAGCCTATGAGCTGTTATTTGTCCCAGCAGGTATTAGAATTGAATGTGATATATCCCTAGCCCTATTTTTAGGCCTCTGCTTGAAAATTCAACCCGTCTTCACGGAAACAGATTTATGACAAACAGTACATCCGTTGAACAGATATCTGAGTGAATTTACCAGGATTTTATCCTTTCTCTTCACAAAAACGACAATGAGGTGAGGTGCGTTTCTGATGATTATCGATAAAGCGGTTTGTGGTTCTGGTGCTTGTTGGCTCATATATCTTTAATGGTTTCACAGAGAGCTATATTGAAGATATCTCCGTAATCTGTGTCGAATTCTCTTGCTTTTTGGTATCTCGGTTTTCCGTGTCAGCGTCTAGCTTTGTGTTTGGTAGCTATGACCGGAGCGTGGAGTCGGCTCCCTCATGGCGAAATATGAGTGATAATTTGGTAATTCTTTTAGTTGTTTGTTTTAGTTGTGTAGAATTGTGTTTGGAGTGTGTAAAAATGGCTTACATGATGTTGTAGCCGAGACTTTTTTAATTAACTGGGTATATAACATGTGTGTAACATCATTATATTACTTCCTGAAAAGTGCATTGTACGACACTCTGTACGCTAAACTTTCTCGATGGAACCCCAAATGGTCCGCCGTCGGGTTAAAGGACTGTGGTTCAGAATTTGGAAATGTACTCACTACATGGTTAACTTATTAATTCAATACCATTCCAACCAACACAATTGAATATGTTGATGATTGACAATGAGGAATGACAGGAATAATACCCTGATTGTTGCACTAGGGACTCCAATTGATTGGAGGAAGAAACTGAGGCAGACTGAAGCAGCACCCTTATCTGATATACATTTTTATTTCAAATTTTATTTCAGATTAAGATTTATCAAATTTAATCAAGTACCTCCTGACAAAAATATCTACCCCATTGTTATCATCCCGTTATCGCTCCGAAATCCCATCCCAGCATTCCTACTCCATTCTGTCACTGCCATCACCATTGATCTGCACCACACAATCCTTGTTCAAAGACTCCTTTGAGTGGGCTGTGTCAAAGTGCTGGGTGCTCACCATGTATCTCCCCCGAGCATCCATCCCCAAGGCAGGGACAAAACGGCGGTCGAACTGGATTTCTTGCCGCAGGTAAGAGGTCCTCTTCTGGCAGGAGTCACCAGTTCCCTCCTGCAAGGCTGACAGGAAGACCACCAACTCAAAGGGGTTGGATGTGCCTTCACACAGGGTGGGATAGAGGGGGCTTTGGCGGTCCAGGGGGTGGTAAAAGGTGAGTGGGAAGATGAAGAAGGGACAGGGCTGCTGGCCTAGATGATCCAAGTGGAAGTCCAGAGAGGTCTGGTGCAGGGCCTGACCTTCATGTTCCTTGTAGAGCACAGCACTCACTTTTACATCCACCAGAGGTCGCTGCAGCAGGTTGGTGGCTCGCAGCATGAGGCACATCTGGCCCTGGTGTTGGCCCACCACTGCCTGAGGGCTGAACTGGATAGCTCCTGCTCTCTTCTGGGGACGTGCAATCTTGGCAACGAATGCACCTGAAGGTTAGGACAATATAATATGAAGAGGAGATGTTTTGACTTTAATACTGCAAAAATATTTGTCTCATGCTGCAAAAGAAATCAGGCTGCGACTATAGCAGCCGAGGTAATATTTGTGCCGCCCAACCCCTCCCCCTTCACACACATATTTGAACATTTCGTTGGGTGTCTCCCCTCATTATGATGGCAGACTTTTAGTGCAGCCTTCGAATGTGGCCATTAAGCATGGCTATGAACAAGTTTTGCCTGTAGATATTTCGTTTATTTCAAGCATTGACTGTATAAGAATTAGACGTCACAGTGACGAGCCGGGGGTTAGACTTTTTTAGACAAGTGCCAACACCACAATGTAAAAATACTGAATTACAAGTAAAAGAACTATTATTCAAAGTCCCCTGACTGATATTATTTGATATGACATTATTATAGTGTCAGAGTGCAAGCAGCATTTTAGTGTAGTAGCTGCTTGAGGTGGAGCTAGTTTATCTAAGAAGAAAAAACTAAGTTCTGCACAAATATTTGACTTCTCTGAAATATTAGATAATCTGACTTTTTTGAGCTACACTGCTGAAAAGCAGGGCTGTAGACTCTTTTACGGACTGTTTAAAAGTGGTCTTTACTGAACAAAATATTAAAAGTGAAAGCTTTGAGACTACTTCTAAAATAACTCACTGTTTAGTCATTGACTTTGATTTGATCCTTCCATATAAATGCAATTCCAATGGTCGTCCAGCAGATGTCACATTTTGTCTGCATTAAAAGATTTAAAACAATGAAGTATTCACTTTTCTCCCTTCCCAGTTAAATGATACCATTTTACAAACTAACTTACAATGTAATAGCCCACTCTGTAACACAAAGGCAGATCTTAGTAGGATTTCGGTTTCCTCTTCAAAATTGTTTCCCCATGTTTTTGGGTCAAGATATGACTAGGTGTTTAAGAGATAACTGAACTGGTCTGGGTTTGTACTGAGATTGATGTAAGTGTTAACACAATTGGTGTGGAGAGAGATTGTGATTCATGTAATGTCCTGAAAAAACATTTTATACACAATCATTTTTGGCCTGTACATTAGCTTCAGTTTTGGCTCCAGTTAGTCTCCCAATGTGTGCATTGAACTTGCAATTGAGACTGTGACCTTCATTTTTGTGGAGACAAGGCTTTAGGAATAGGAGAGTCGTACCTGTGATGAATGCTTCCAGCATGAGCCCCAGCAGCATCTGCACAGCCAGCAGTGCTATGGCACTGGGACAGTCCCCACTGGGGAACATGGTGCCATAGCCGATGGTCAGCTGTGTCTCCAGGGAGAAAGAAAAGGCAGCAGTGAAACTGGTTATGTGCTTCACACAAACCACATGCCCTTGTGGGGGAGCATCATGGTCCTGCACAGCCAGGTCTCCGTTAAGGTGGGCCAGCAAGTACCACATACAGGCAAACAGCAGCCAGTGGGCCAGGAAGGAGGCGCAGAAGGCCAGAAGGACCCATCTCCACCGCAGACCCACCAACAGTCCCCACAGGTCCTGCAGGGCGAGCAACCAGGCTCTGCCTAAGGCCCCGCGCCATGAGCCTGAAGAGCACAGAGGTGGACGAAGGGCACAGTGTCCATCTTTGGTGACCAGGCGTTGGCGGGGTGGAGAAGACAAGAGAGGAGAGGAAGAAGCCTTGCTACCCAGAACGCTGCTGTTGGATTTGGTTGTCATGGTTGCAGGTGGATCTCAAGCAGTCAGGATGATCCTAAATTGAAATCGTAAAAGACAGATATAGGGATGTTTCATGAGACTGTATCAGTCAATATCAATATCAGTTTCATCTCTGTGTCCAGTGCATGGGAATATGAAATGTGCTAGCCATTGATTGAATGAGTAGCTGCAGTCAGTTGCTCAAAAAATAGCTCCAATGTTACCTGCCAAAACTATTTTGACGTTTCTATAACTACCCGTGTAAATAAATAAACAACCAGCCTTCGTTATCTAAATTTGATCCAGACAGAAATGTCTGGAAATTCCATGACAGATTGTCATGGAATTTTGTGCTGACATTCATTCAAATTCAAATGAAAAATGTTAATGTGTCCAATACATTGTTTTGTGACCAAATACCTGCAAAAATAACTTCCATCAGCTTCAGCTGTACTTTGAGTTGAATGCTAATTATCAAATGTTAGCATGTTAACATGATAAATTAAGATGGTGAATGTGATAAACATTACCTGATTAACATCACATGCTAGCATATTCGTTGTGAGCATGTTAGCACACTGACATCAGCATTTAGGTGGAAACACCACTGTAGTTCAGCATTGCATTGGCACTAGCCTCGCATAGCCAGACCCATCACCAGAGACAAAAATGCTACACAAAGATGAACTCTTCCCATTTTGGCACTAACTGATCTGATATCACCAGAATATTTCAAAGTTACACACATAAATCCTATAATCTATTATGAGGATTGCTATGATATGTGCTATGTACATTTTTGCAGAGGTGGGAAAGTGTTAAGTCTAGGCTATGAAGGCAAGACCAACAAGTCCAATGTCAAATCCAAATCTTAAACTTTAATCCCAAAAACAGTGGTAATAACATTAGCAAAATAATACGTAAATACTGTTTAAAATGTATATTTATTATTTTCAAATGAAGTTTAAAATATTTATAAACTTTTTTTTCCATTAATAATGTATCTAAGTTAGCAGTAGTTAGGCTAAACAAATCCAGACGAAACTAACATCCATCTTTTAATTTTTAAGTCTGGGTAAAGCAGTAAACATTGGATTGTCGTATTTCCCAAAATGTGACACTGTTCCTTTAAATCTCAAGGTTAAGCTGTATCTACAAAACCACTATGTATCTAATTTAAACGGGGCATATGAACGCCTAGCACCAGATGCATGTGAAGGCAGTCCTGACAGGCAGACAGCTAGAGTCCTGTACTCGTCAGAGTTTCTATTTCTATGTCAATATTGTTGCCAGGAGATTAGAGCAGGTCCCAGCTGGGAATCTGTCTGAGGAACACAGCAACATGCAGAGTAGGAATGCGTCTTTCATCTGCAGGGAGCTTTAAACTTATTGCACTGCATGGCTCTCCACTCATCTTGTTCCCCAATTACAACATACATTTACTATTATTTTACACATTTATTATGCACTTGCAACTTCTCCTGATGCATTTGCTAAGAGCTTTGCATAGCTTTCAAATACAAAAAGAGGGGAGGTTCAAACGAAAGCACAAATCCAATGTGAGGGCAAGAGGAGTGACGGTAACATTTTAAAAATATAGTTTGATAACATCATAGATTAGCATTGTTAAGAAACTACACACCCTTACAAAAAGATGAAGTGGGTTCAAATACTGGATAGTTTCTAAAGCATGTTTCAACAAAATGTAAGATTAAAAACACAAATAAAAAAAAGAAGAAAGAAAGTAGTTGTTCAATTGTTATTAACAACAGACTTAAACACCAACCAACGGAGGACTTTTTTTGGGGCATAAGCTGAAGCAATAGTAGGGTCAGTTAAATGTGTAGTAATTTTGGTTAGAAGTTTGGCTTTGTGCTGTGGCTGGAGGAAACAGTCAGCAAGGTCATCACATGAGAGCCATGTGCTGGTTGGAGCTTCATTGTGCTGGAACTCAGTGTGTCAGATATGTCACTGGTCAGTCACCACAATATTTTTGTTCCTCATTCAACGTAATTTGGGGGGCATTATGTTCCCTTCAAAAAAAATGTGCTAATTCAAATAAGTAGTATATAAATTTAATTTTGCAGATATGTCACTATATCAGTCCGTCACCACACTGGCCATTGGAACATAAGTACATGAAAACAGGCCGTTTATGCAATGCTTACTGTGTTTGTGAGACGGGAAGATCAGCATGTTTGTGTGTGTATATATATATATATATATATATATATATATATATATATATATATATGTGTGTGTGTGGACATTTAGCCAACAGAAACATTCTGGTTCGGGAAAGATGATAGTTCCGGTGAAAGAGTAAACATAACTTTTGTTTCAAATCACTTCTTAAATATTAAACCAAGGCCATCATCTATCCATAACTTTAACAAATGCAAAATGTTTAAACAAAAGAAAAACAATGTATTTGTAATTGTATATTGAATATAGATTGGAATTTAAATAAAGCTTTTAGGAACAATGCAACTTTGTAGATAAAAAATGTTTGCTGCCTCATTTATCATAATTTTCGGTGGATTATTTTCCCTTCAAAACAAATTTGCAGATGCGAATCAGTAGCATATGACCTGATATTTAGGAGACAGGGTGGTTGCTTGTTATTTAAGCTTAAACCTTCAAAAACAGACCCCATCACACGTTGTTCACACATTTCAGCTGTTTTATACCCTGTTTTTGCATACACAGTAGATTAAGTTGCAGGGTGTGGATTATGCATTTTAAATATTATTTGTCTGTCTTGGCGATTGAAGTTAGTTATTTTTCAACTAATGCTATGATATTTGAAGTTTAAAAATGATTACAATCAGAGGAAAATACTGTACTAAAGTATATGTCTATGGTAAACACTGTTTATTTCCACATATGCATATATTTTTTGATATTTTACTGTCTAACTGTGAACACATCCTCACTTTTAAACAAGTAAAATTTTGAATCCATATTTTCAACTTTTAAGTATTATCCTATAATACATTAAAAAGACAATAACAGTTTTTTCCTCCCTGCGAGTTGTTGACAATGCAAACAAACAACTATGTGTAACTGATCTGAGTAGGGTAAAGTCACTGAGGCTGGTGTAATACTTAGACTTACTGTAGTCATAATGATGGCTAAGCGTGACAGTGCCTAGTCAGCCATTTTCCTGTCTCTAAGCTATCTGTGTTAAAGTAGAAGTTAAGAGAGCAAGTTAGTGGTTAGTCTCTTTGTCGCCTACTCGGAGGGGTGCAGAGGGGTTTATGTAATATTAAGTCTGCAGCTGTTCACTTCTATTCCCTGTTAACGTTGTATCGCACAACATAAATGTCTGAAAAAGAAAACAAATCAGTTTTGATCATGTGTTATTGTAGTAATAAAAATGAACATTTGTTGCCTTGACTTTCAGATGCCCTTGTGACCATGCTTGTTATCTAAAACTGGATTAGCAACAGTCAGTTTACCATCTCTGGGTTGTAGAAGTGTTTTAGCTGATAAAAAAAACAGGGAAAAATTTCTTGACTGCATTTATTGTAATTTCTAAAGTCTATAAAGTGCACATAATTGATAAATCCTGGAAAAATCCATGGATCCAACAAGTTACATTGCTTAGGTTCCTTAAGATATCCCCAACACTGATCAGATCACGGTTGATCATTCACTCATTCTCCTGGTATCAGTGCCTCTGCTCTGCCAAACATCACATGCTGGAGTTTGTACTCACCTAGAGCTGCAGTGTGGGCTAAACGGGGGCCCTCTGACCTTTTTCACCTAAAAGCTGGTCTGGGGTCTCCCAAGTGGGCGAAGGGGCCGAGGCAGATGGAAAGACTGCCACTAGTTCCTTGGAGTATGGGGTGTAAAATCCCAGAGGAATCCCGAGTAGAAACTAGTAGTGTCACCCCAAAGATAATTTTCTTGGTCTAGGAGCCAGGCTGAGCGCGGCGCTCTCAGCTCCTCCGATCTGCAGCTCCTCCGATCTGCAGCTTCCAGCTCCGAGGCGAGGATGATTCAATTGGTCACATTACCCTGCATGGAGCCTATTAGTGTTCCCGGAAGACAGAAGACAGAGGGAGGGGGGAAAAGAACAACACCTTGTCACAGTTCATTCAAAGAGCTGCTTGTTGCTGGTTGGTGTCCTGCAGCTGTTGCTGCGAGAAATTGGAACTGCTGATAAAGTGGTGCATCAACAGTGTGTGCATATATGCATGAATTTGCTGGCATCTACATGTTTTGTCCATCTTTTCTTTCCCCTTATTTTTGTGTTTTCTGTCCTTTACACATCGCAAACCTTTTTTGAGAGAAATATCATTTTATTGTAATATTAGGGATGTTTTACACATCATTTCATAAACATTTTCCTTATGTTCACTCTGGGTTAAGGTTAGAAGCCGTACTGGTGTAAATTTTCACACCAGACACATTCATTGATAACTGACACATTACTCTGTCACTGTGTCATCTCAGAATAGTTAACATATTAACCAAAGAGTCACAGAGCGCTTCTTTGCTTCAAAAAACAATAGTAGAGCCACATGACTGTAGGTTAAAAGCCAACACTAGTTTTTGACCTTCGAGCAGCAGGACAGCAATGTTGGTATGTCTGTCAATCTGTCCAACACTTGAAATGACAGGAAATCCAGTGTGGATTTTTCATGGTCATAAAAGGATGTTTCTTAAAAAAACCTTTTGGTTTCTTATAATAATTTTGGTCACCATTCCTATTTAACACTGGGTCATATGGATGTGTTTTTTCATGCTTTATTCTGAATTCCTTCAAGTAATGTACTTTTGTACCCCAGGTTAGACAGACTTATTTGGCAAATGAAAGTGAACAGTAAGGATATTTCTCTCACTGTAAACATCCATCAAGCACTATGTACACACGAAGCCACCTGAATTTAAAATGCTGGATGAAAACGATGCATGTCCACACTAGCATTTTTAAATTGTTTGTGAAGATTTCTGTCTACACTTAAATGCAGTGGCGGCTGGTGGAAAATTTTCTAGGTAGGGCCATCCAATCAATTTCAGCAAACATCCCAGTATGATTTAATGCAAACAAATTAAAGTATCAAACACGCATTACTACTTTGCAGTTAAATATTTAACATTTATTCCAACACGAAAAAAAAGCAGTAAATAACATGTCAGGACATCTTACTTTAGTCACCCTCACAGGGAATTCAGTATAATATATATATATATATATATACACAGTATAATATATATCGTATAATAATATTCAGTATAATATAAAACACACACATACATATATTTAGATATATACACAGTATATATCTACAGTATATATATAAAATATAATATAATAGAACATGTGTATTTATTGAGATGCCCCTATGGACCTTGTTAAAAGAGGTAAAGATCAGGAGAAGTAAACATGAAGTGTAATTAGGAATACTGATGTTAAATTAAGCTATGATGAGTTTTCACTGTTAATTTACCATCTCTATTAAATGTTGATGCCTCCATGACCAACTTAAGCAGACGAGACTGAGGACAACTATGTAGAAGAGAAGATGTTCACTTTGCCTAATATGTAGCTTGACAGAGTTCTCCATGTCTGCCCTGGTGTTCTCATGTTTCCTTACCTCCTCATCCCTCACTCCCGTTACTCTCCATGTTGGATCTGTCCCCGTTGTTTTAAAAAGCTAAATAAGTTATTAGCATGACGTCATCCAGCTAGCCAAACCCGTGTTCTGCACACAGGCAGAGAGGACGAGCAGGAAAAGCATATATTTTGCGCAGATATCATATTTTACACATATTACTGGGTACATTCCATAGTTCAAAAACACAAATATTGACAATTTGTATAATTTATTATAATGTTTTTTTTTTTTTTTCCTTTCTTTTTTTTGTGTGGCTCAAGGTGGGGCCAGGCCCCATGGCCCTCTATTGACCAGCCGCCACTGCAAATGCATAAACAAGAGAGCAGTTACTCTTCTTGTCCATCCTCTTTCGGTTGGCAAATAACATGCATCAGTATTCTGTTCTGTGTGATCACCTACACTGTGTTTTAATAAAGCCAAACCCATTCACTTTGTTGTGGCTCTTTTGTCAAACTAATGAGCATAAAATAGTGATTTGATGATGGCTCACCCATTGACCAGGTGAACAATATTTGTTAATCCTAATGTTTTATGATCACCAATTCACCTGACAAACTGGCACAGGTATACAGGTAAATACAGGTAAATGTTAACACCTGTATTGGGTCATCAGTACAGGTATACTGACAGATAGACCTCAGAAAATATGTGAATATAATTGAGTGATAATACAAAGGGTTAGGTGTGACATAAATTTATCTCCTTAATTTACTGTCACAGATTACAGAAAATGTGTGGACAGGTTTAAGTCATTTTCTAAAAGCTCACTGTTCCCTGTAAAAACTAATACACTTCATCCACAAGATCTTTTGACTCTGGAAACCATTTTCAAAAAGCTCTCATTATTCAAGCTATCAAGGAAGAAACCCTTTTAGACTCCAACATCTTTCTCTAGTGCCTGCTACACAACAAACTCTACATGTTTAGACTCTATATGAATAACAAAATCACATGTTCACCCAGTGATGAACACAGTAGCTATATACTTGTTCCAGTGGAGGTGGCAGATGACAGTGTCAGATTGTGAGGTACTGTAGCTGCTTTACTGCCTTCATTCTCTCTCATTAGTCTGAAGAGCAAGATATGGGTCATTTACCTACTGCTGTGAAATGTGTCACCCTTCATTTTTCCTCTTTTCCACTTTTTCACTCACATCCTCTCTCTCTCTTGTATAGTTTTTCTTTTGGGCAGAGCAGTGGGGGAGATGAGATTTTTTTGACAGCTTAAATAGACCACCAAATTGGGAGGATGGGTCTGATAGATGCTGCAAATGAGAGAGAGAGAGAGTGAGGCATATCACGTGTGTAAAAGGATGTTAAAAATACTATCTGTTTGGATGGTATGCAGTCTGCTTATTGACTTACAAAGGAAAAAGATGGGGGACAAAAGAGACAAGACAATGATTTATACAATAGTATTGCAGCAACATAGTTTCTGACCAACAATGGCAGAATTAAGAGCACTGCTGCTAAGCAGAACTTCAGTTTGTGGATGAAGAAGAGATCCTGCACCACGCTGTTTAAGTCCATATTATCTGTATATTAAGGACTTAATTTTTCCTTCTGGCTACGAGCGCCCCCCATTTGGGGGGCTCTCGGGCTCAGGACCCCTGAAAATATTGTTCGGAAAATAGCCTTATTGTTCGCCAGTATTGTGGATCTGTCCAGTTTTTTTTCCGGATTAAACAGCAACGTATGGGCAACACTATCATATAAGTCACTTTTTACACACTCCAAACACAACTATAGACTACTAGTATAAGCATCTAGAAAACGTGGCATAAAATCATGAAATCCTGGGCAGAAATCGGCGTTATGTCTGCCTCAAATCAATATTTTCACCACGAAGCTAGCAGTTAGCCGGCTAATCCGGACATCGTTTAGCATTAGCATCAGGCAGAGAACACGTACATACCGTCGGTTCTTCTCTCCGTGGACGCACCGCAACGCTGTGACCATACAACGGTCCAATGCCACTGGTAAAAAATCCATGGTTTTTGGTCAGGTTTTATGAAATATTAGTACAAAAACATCGAAAATGCTCCGGTTCAGAGTTACCGTCATGGCCGCGAAGCGCATCCTGTTTATGCCGAGCTGTTTCCTGTGGAAGGGGGGTCAACCCACCTTGGGCCAGCGGTCAGACTTTCGGCCAATGGAATTTTACGCACGGGGAGACGCGGCACTCTTTGCAACTTTATTGGCTGAAACTTATGTCAATCAACACCAAATTCGACAGAGGCCTTCCTGAGACGCTGACGCGTTTTCACTGAAATCGGCCTATGATAGGCTGAGATACAGCGCCATACACACACAGGGACTGAGAAAATCCTATGGCTGAGAGCCAGAGACAGGCTCTGATGATGTTAGGAATCTCAAAATGATTCCTAACATCTGTATTTGGATGTATTGAATAATATGAGTGATAAAAAAGTGAAATATATAGTTATATAGTATATAAAATTAGAATAGAGCATGAGTGAGTACAGAATTTCAAGCCAAATGCTCATTTCTCTGACCTCCTATTATGCTGGCCTGCTTCACTCAAACTAAGTAAAATGAGCTTAGAGAGACCACAACCCTGTTGTGCTATGACACAGGAGTATTTGTAGGCTTCACTCTGCAATAATTCCAAAAAAATGTCAATGAAAGTGCTTTTTTTTCAGGCAAACCTGGAACTTTTTCATCTTCAGCTGTGCCATAAGTGTATCAGTTATTAACCAGTAACGTATACAAAATATTTACACATCTCACAAGTGTTACCTGTATAGACCATTAAAATGATTAAAATAGACCTTGTAGTTTGGGTAGTTTACTCAAGAGAGTAAGAGTATGCAATTTTCGAGCAGAGGGCTAAAAATAGGGCGAGTAGGTAAAAGGTGGGTAGCGAGATACAGCACTCACCTGACCTAAGGTATGCCAGCTGATTGATCAGGCCAGAGGATGTGGGCCAGTTAGGGAACAATAAGATTCTGGGTGATTATTTCCACTGGGCCAATATGCTCAGCTGTGATTTCCAGAATGGAAATAACACTAGCACATTGTAACAGGCTCTCTGCTACCCGGTGAGTCTTGGGAGCACAATGATGCCAGCACACAGTTGAAATGGTGTTTTCAAGCGTTCTTTATTGTCACACAATCAGACTGGACATGGCCGTGTGCTCTCCTGCCTTGCCTCCGAGCACATGCCGCGGGAGATTGCTGCGATCTCCCATCCTTTCCGTGCCACTGCACGACTGTCACTCGTCCCGAGCTGTCTCTCGCGCCTCCGTCACTACTGGTGATTAAATACATCCGAGAGTGAGACAATTAGCATCTGTTTCAGCTGCGCTGTGCCTAATTAAGTCTCTTCCCGGCACCGCT